ACTTTCCGGCTGGCAGCCGGTGCCCAGGTACAGCCAAGCATCGTTCTCAGGCACTGTGGGCACGGTTTCGGGGGAAGAGACCGTGCGGGCTGAGTATGACGTCTCTGTCTTGTGCTTGTGACTGTGACTGAAGGGCTGGCAACAGGCTCTCCGGCTCATGTTTCGTTGTATTATCTTCTGAATAACATTCCTGTATCGGGTAAGAAAACTGCCTTCCAAAGACCCTTAGACAACCTGTGCCCCTCGGGTTCGAAATTGGCTATCGAGCTTGACACCGGCTGAGCAGCGGCTAGGGCAAGCGAAAGCCTAGAGAGAGATCTTCATCTACTCGTATCTAGATCTACATGTATGTATATATATATATGTACATACTTTGAGATTCTGGAATATTCTGGACATAGATATGGACATAGAGATTTTGGAATTGCAATGCGTTCTGCATGTACATATATGTATGCTAACCTCCCCCGCCGCCCCGGTTATCCACCCTTTTTTGTGGTTCTCCACGGGCCAATTAGATCGTTTCACGGGCCGCGGTGACCCCTGAACCCCCCCCCCCCCACCCCAGCAACGAAATACCACCCGCACGAACAAATGACCCAACCCCTTACATAACATAGATGTATGCAAACCTTGAGATGTTGAGTCCTCTCCATCTCTCCAAACACTGGGCACAGCGACCTCCTCCCCTCCCTTCCGCTCCGCTGCGCTCCCTGGTTTTGTAAATGCTTTTTCAGGGCTTATTTCGAAAACACAAAACCCTATCGGTTAAGGGTTTAGGGCTTATTAAGAGAGGCCCCGAAACCCTATAGGGTTCAAGGCTTGAAGCCTATCGGGTTTTGGGTTAAGCCTGAAACTTAAACTTTTAAACCCTACCTTAGGTTTCTAAACTTTTAAACCCCATAAAGCTTAAAGGTTGAGGGCTTTTCAACGTTTATCTCTAGAACCCTTAAACCCTATAGGCCTATAGAGTTCAAACGTTTAGGGTTCAAGGTTTAGGCATTACCTATACGAATCTAGCCTTATAACCCTACAGGGCTTGAGGCTTAAATCCCTAAACTTAATCCTACAGGGTTATGCCGGGGTAAGCCCTCTAGAGTTTACACTGCTTAAGGTTTACGACTGACCTTTTATGTACTATTTGATGGTTCTGCTTCCCCTTCATTTGAAGAGTTTTGAGGAATTTGAAAGGCCCCTTCATTTCGTTAAACTTTAAAATCCCTAGAATCTTTCAAATTTTTCTAAAGGCGGAGGCCTTTCACAATTTAAGGGTTTTCAGTGTGTTTTTAAAAAATTAAAATGGGCCTGGCCTTCCAATTTTTTGATGGAAAAAAAACCTAAACTATTTTGGGGAAAGACCCGGCCCATTTAAGTTTTCAAAAATCCTTAAACTCCTAAAACTGTTGAAATGCCTCTGGCTTTCAAAGTTTAAAGGGCTTCAAGGAATTTAAGTGGCCGCTTAAATTCCTTAAAATCCTTTAATTAAATTTTGACAAATTGAATTTATTTTGGGGAAAGGCCCGGCCCATTTAAAAGTTTCAAATCCTTGAAATCCTTAACACTGTCGAAACACACGGGCCGGTACAAAACGGTGCAAGTTGGACCGGCCACATGGAGCCAAAAACCAAGATTGCAGAGAGGTCTTGCCCTGCAATCTTGGTTCCTGGCTCAACCAAGAACTAAGAACCAAGATGGCAGGGCAAGACCTCCCTGCAATCTTGGTTCCACGGGGCCGGGGACGGTACAACTTGTACCGATTTGTACCGGGTTTGTACCGGTCTCTATGTTGTCGGAATCACACAGGCCGGTACAAATCGGTGCAATGGTACAAGTTGCACCGGCCACATGGAACCAACAACCAAGAACCAAGATTGCAGAGAGGTCTTACCCTGCAATCTTGGTTCCTGGTTCAACCAAGAACTCAAGACCAAGATCAAGAACTAAGAACCAAGATGGCAGGGCAAGACCTCTCTGCAATCTTGGTTCTTGGTTACTTGTTCCGATTTGTACCGGTTTGTGCCGGTCTCTATGTTGTCGAAACACACAGGCCGGTACAAACCGGTGCAACGGTACAAGTTGTACCGGCCCCAGCCCCGTGGAACCAAGAACCAAGAACCAAGATTGCAGGGCAAGACCTCCCTGCAATCTTGGTTCTCGGTTCTTGGTTCCACGGGGCCGGGGCCGGTGCAACTTGTACCGATTTGTAGCTGTTTGTACCGGTCCCTACTGGTGCAATGTAAACAATGGATAATCGACCAGATAGAAAGAAAATAGAAGGCAACACGCTGGGACAAAGAAAACAAATCACGAACCCAAAAAAACGCAGTGCCGACAAGAAAAACATAAAATATGCAGAAAAGGTGTGGATAACTGGGGGGTACCATATCTATGTGTATATGTATATATACATTTATTTATTTTTTATTTATTTATTTATATATGCTACCCCCCCCACATGAGTGCATATGGCATAAGATTGGAAACACATAAGAATGCTGCGATGGCGTGAAACAACTCGCGACAGGGCCGCACATCTTGCGATGCTCCTAGTATGGCTATTTCTAGAGACATACATGCATACATACGTGCGTATAGACATATGGGTATATCTGATACTATATATATATATATATATATGGTACCCCCCCCCCCCCCAGTGAACCTACCTTTTTCGCCTTGTCTCAAGTCACCCAGCTGCACTGCAAGCAAACTCGGTGTGCAATATAGCGTATTTTCCTAGGGCGTAGACTAAAATACAACTAAAATCGCATACGCGGGACAGTAGAAAACCAAAAAAAAAACAAAAAACCAAAAAAACCAAAAATACCAAAAAAACCAATTTTCCAGGACTCTCAGGAAATCCCTATGAGGCTTCTCCAAGAGTCCCGGAAAATTGGTTGTTTTGGTATTTTTGGTTTTTTTTTTTTTGGTTTTTTTGGTTTTTTTGGTTTTGGTGTTTTTGGTTTTTTTGGTTTTGGTATTTTGGCTTTTTGGTTCGCCTTCACGGTCAAGAGGCAACAACTACGTATTTTTAAGTGTGCTTATGCTAATTGTGCTTTTCAGAAATAGTATAATACAAGTGGTCTTTCTAGTGCTTCAGAACTATTTGTTTCGTTATCATGCAAGTAGAGCCGCTAGTGTTTAGTGCATCTTTTGGTTGTACTCAAGTGTAGTAGACCTTATTCAGCCATTACTTGGTGCTCTGGTAGCTCAATTCGCATGGATAATATTTGCCTGGTAAATGCGACTAATTATCTAGAAGCAGCATTTGCAATACTTGTCTTGAGAAAAAGCATTTATTGCTTAGAATTGTTTGCTTTAAAAAGTGACTCCTACTCGTCCAGGAATACCCCAAAACCCTATAATCCAAACTTTACCAGAGATTCTCCTGAAAAGCTTGCGCTTTTGGATGTTTTTCTGTATTTGTGAATTTGCTTGTGTATGGCCTTCACTAAGTACTTTCTAGGATTCTTGTGCATTTGTTAAGCCTGATTGTGCAAGTTGCGTTTTTCAAGCATCGTATATATGTGGTCTTTATTGAATACTTCAGACATCTTTGTTTCATCGTTATGTAAGTAGAACCGCTTCTATTTCCATTATTGTGCATTTTTAAGCTTGCTCATGCAAATTGTGCTTTTCAGACATAGTATATAAGTGGTCATTAGTGAATACTTCAGCAATCTTTGTCTCATTGTTATGTAGGTAGAACCGTTTCCATTTCCACAAGTGTTTATTTCGTATTTGGTTGAGTATGGTCCTTTAAATAGTATTCACTTGAGTCAAATTGGGTTATTTGCTTAAGAATTCCTCTAGTAGTTAAATTCGCATCGAATGAATACTTCAAAAAAATTGTTTCATGAATGTTCAATAAATTTCTGTAGACTGATGCTTCATCACTCATTTATGTAAACATAAGGTGTTTCATTTGACTTTGCAGATAGTACTTCAACAATACTTTGCCTGGTATAAACACAACTGTTTCAATGCATTAGTTGCTCAACAAAGCGCTATTTGCCATTTAAACCACACTTTGCCATATTTTGGTTGAATATGGTGCTTCTTTCGTATTTTGGTTGAGTATGGTCCTTTAAATGGTATTCATTTGAGTCAAATTGGGCTATTTGCTTAATAATTACTCTAGTAGCTAAATTCGCATAAAATGACTATTTCAAAAATGGAAACGATTCATGAATATGTAAACATAAGGTATTTCAGTGGACTTTTCAGAGAGCATACTTTGCCTAGTACAAACACAATTGTATAAATACAGTATTTGCACTTTAAACGCACACTTTGCCATTTTTGGTTGAGAATGGTGTTTATTTCGTATCTTGGTTGAGTATGCTCCTTTAAATAGTATTCACTTGAGTCAAATTGGGCTCTTTGCTTAATAATTACTCTAGTAGCTAAATTTGCATAGAACCAAGAAAAATGTTTCACTATTTGATTAATACTTTGCGTCGTACAAACACAATTGTATAAATAAATTAGTTGCTCAACAAAACATTAATTGCCCTTGAAACGCACAATTTGCATAGAAAAACACTGATCTAAACATCTAAAAACAGCATTGTCCACTTCAGATTCAAAATGTAGATTCTTCCAATGCTGGCTTATCGGGGTCTGTGAGGTGGGTGTCCCAGTAACTGTCCTTCATTACCCGGTGATTGACTACGCGACTTTTGGGCCTTCTTTGTTGTTTTTTGTTAAGAGGCCTAAAAAGGCCTAAAAAGGGTAGGTCGCTGGGGGGGGGGGGTAGCATATATATATATATATATATAATGTATATAATTACTTTTGTGTGTATGTATGTGTGTATATGTAAATATGCAGATATGCACACGTTCATGGAAAGAGCTTCTTCCTTATTCTGGGTAGCAAGCGGATTGGTTTCCCACAGCGCGTAAAAGAGTCTTCGACGTGTCTTGGAAGGTAGCACAGCGTCGACCCAATGCGACATGAAAAGAACACGAAGCCACGGTGTGGATCTTGTGTCCGACATGCTTCACGAGCGTAGTCTGCAAAATGACGAATCTCCGAAGCCAGCATCTTGCAGGAACTTCGGCGTGCTTCTTTCGCCGTTGCAGGACGGCCGCACGGATCACGGGTATGCACAAAGGCTCTCGGCAGGAGGCTGCGGCAGCTCCTTGACCCAACCGTCGAGACAAGAGGAGAGCCTCGGGGGGCTGAAACTCGAGTGCGGGGCTTGAAAGATTGGGGTCTCTTGAAGGCTGCAAGCACTGAACCGACGGTTGGCTCACAGACTCAGTCCAAAGTACATGGTCTTCTCACATTTAGACTTGAAGTGCCCCCGAGCTCAGGCAGCCTGACATACTTCATCAGCCACAACTGGTCAACGCGACGAGTTGAGAAGTTTTTGGCGTTGGCAGCACCTGCCGCAATTGATATCAATACGGACGATGGTTTCAGCCTATTCTCAGCCTCCACACTCCAAGTGCAAAGACTACAACCCACAAAGCATGTCGTGCAGTTTGCTTGAGACAAGCCAAGTGCCGCATACCGGAAGCAAGCCGGTGCAAGAGGTTTGTGAATTTGGGGTACAGGTCATGGCAATCCCGTTCCGATTTCTCGGCATCCAATACTAGAGAGGCTTCAACCAAAGTGTATCCTCAGGCACTGTACTTCAACGGCCCCGCTGCCATCGTCACCAGCGTGTGTTCGCAACTGGTGGCTAAGCTTGCGACAGCAATTGCCTTGTTCTTTTTCTTCGCAAGCTATTTAAGGATTGACTGCAACCTGTTCAGCTGCAGTAATTCGGGGAGGGGGGAGGGGGGAGGGGGGAGAGGGGAGAGGGGAGAGGGGAGAGGGGAGAGGGGGAGAGGGGAGAGGGGAGAGGGGAGAGGGGAGAGGAGAGAGGAGAGAGGAGGGGGAGAGGAGGGTGTGGGGTGGCTCTTTCAGTGGGAGTCACACGCTCTGCAAGCAAGCAAGCAGGAGGGAGAGCGAGAATGGAGAGGGAGAGGGGGGAGGGAGAGGGGAGGGAAAGGGGGAGAGGGATAGACTTACCCATGTTTTACCCCACTGTGCGGGTGCCTTTCATTCCATGAGCTGCCCCGACGAGGCAATGTTCAGTTTGGTTCTGGCTGGCGTGGTTCCCCGAGTCACAACAAGCAGGGCCGAAAATGTGTGTGTTTGGTGCACCCTGGTCGGAGCGGCCACGTTCTGGATTGCCGCCCGTCTTATTCTTCGGCGCTTCGCTGTTTCGCTGTAAGGCTTGGAGTAGCAAAAGCCATGAAAGACACTCAGCCCTGAAGGTCCTCCTCCTGTGGCATGAGATGGATGCTCGTCTACAGTGTCGCAGGCTCAGGGTCTTCTTCGACAAGGTATGTATCAACCAGAGCGACACCGTCGCGAAGCAGGACGGACTTCAACAAAGAATGCACAGATCTTCTCGGAGCGCTTGCGGCTTCGCGGCCCGCTTGGCCTTTCGCAGGAGGGCATCCGGAATATCACGGCATACCTGCGGCAGTCGGAAGCCTTGCTGGTCCTGCTCTCCGATGTCTACCTGGAGCCTGAAGATTTTAAATGTGGAGTCACAAGTCGGAGGGTGCGGTTGCCGCTCTTCTTGCACAATGTTGCGCAGAGGGTTCCTTTCCGCTTCGCCTTGCAGGGCGCACGAGTCCACCGCCGCAGTCAAGGGTTTCGTGCGTTTTTTGCTCCACTCCGCCTGGCCAGGACAAGATTTGGACAGTCTTCGAACTCACAGCGTCGCCCGGACAGGAACTGTTTACAACAGGCGGTTTAGTATTTGCGCTTTGGTAGTAGAGCCCTGTCGAAGTTTCGCAGAGCAGGCACGTCGAATCACCGAACCAGTCGGACCAGCACCGTTGGATTCTGGTTAAACCCTTGGACCCTACTACTGCAGTGACGGCAGTGGTCTTAATGATTTGGTACTGACAGCATAAACCCCCTTATTTGACATCTCAGGTTCATGGCATTGAAGCCAGATGCCGCAGTCATTGTGCAGCCACTTCGCTTGGCGACGATCGTGCCTGGACTGACAGCCTTAAGAGCTATAGGGTTTAGGGCATGGGGCCGCTGGGGTTTTAGGGTTTAGAGATAGGGCTTTAGGGTTTCTGCAATCCCCCGAAGACAAGGCTTCCAGAAACCCTGTTCGGCCCTACAGTTGACCCTGCGGTGTTTACATGCAGGGGAGAAAGAGATGGAGTGATGGCAGTGACGTGGAAGCCCAAATCCTGCCTGTCAGAAGCCCCAGCCTTAAGGATCCCAAGTGCCTGCCAAGTACAAACGAGGCTTTCAAGATTGGGAGTTGCGATTGTGGCAGATGTATGATGATGATGATGATGATGGTGATGATGATGATGATGATTCTGATGATGCTGATGATGATGATGATGTATGTACCGCCTTGGATCCTTGAGAAGGTCGCATGCTTGATGGGGCTGATGGTCTGGGCGAAGACCATGGAAGGAGTCTCAGGAGCTATGGGACAATTCTGCTTCTGAGATGCTGGGTCAACAGGCTCTCCCAGTCGAAAGTGCTTAAAGGGCTTGACAGCAGTAGGCGAGGGTTTGGTGGTTGTCTTGGGGCTTTGTGTGGAACTGCCCGCGCAGAGCCAACCATACCTGGAAGTTGTGAATGCGATACTCTGCCTCGCACGAAAGGAGGAACGATTTACGACCACCTGGTCGCAAGACGCGGCCCTCGCCTCAGCCGGAGCCACCAGGGACAAGTTAGGGAAATGCTGGCCGTGCTCGGGGCATATACTGGTACGCGTCTATATTTAATGTCAATGCATGTAATTAGTGCATGACAGGTTGTGCACGGAAGCAATCTACTTAACTCTTACTCACTTTGCTCCCCCCGTAACACATGCAACTATCACCGTAGCAGATGTCCGACGCGCAACTCCACCCACTCACAATGCACAGGAACCGTTTCCCTTTTTGGACAACTGCTATCTGCTCTCTTCGATAATTCGCAGTCCTACTGCAATTGGAACTGCCTGTGTTGCTTGTGGTTGAGCCCATGAAGCCCCATGGTTCCGAAGACCCAATTCCCTAAACTGCCTGAACACATGAATCCCCAACCCCTGACGCCTCAACGCCTGAACCTCAAACCCTCGAGATCCTCAAGCTCTCAGACTCAACCCATACTCAACCCTGCAGGTCCTTCCATTCTGGTTGTAGCAACCGTCTTCGGAACCACAGCTGTGCTGCGCTGTTGGGGGAGGGCCTTCGTCCAGCTGGAGCCGCGATGGGCTTGCAAATACGGGTTGCGTACAAGTGGGGTGGGGTCTTCCTTTAATATTGGTCCTACGATTTAGGTTTGTGTGCTATGTGTGCTAGGGTCCTTGATTTTCTGAAACGTCCGAGTTTGTTCAGGCCTTCTTTTGGTTAGGTGAAAGGGTTGCTGCTGGAACCGGAAGTCGGATTCTGTTGCATGCAGGCTAGAGACAGGTTCGTGAGAAAACCGGCCTCACATTCGGGGGTTCCCTTATTTCGGGGACCTTCTGATACAGGGTCCTTCTATGTCCTTTCTCAGGAGAAGCAGCTCAATACCTTCAGCTTTGACACTGCCCAGTGCCTCCATCCAAAAGACCGGGAGATGATCCGCGAGGCATCGCACATGCCGAGTACTCTAGCTTTGGTATCTGTTTACACCCTCAGGCTTTAGAGTGTCTTGGTCCAGACCCTTTGAACCCCTTGGCTAACGAAGGTATGTCTTGTGCTGGAGGCCTGTTTTCAGATCGCCCGTGGCGCGTTGGGACCTTCAGCGACACTTCAGGAAGCCGGGCCCCCAAGTCTTCTGTGCAGTTGATCATCATAGAGATCCTACAAGCCAAAGCCTTCTCTCGCAAGAAAGCGCAAGAAGCAAAAACAGTTTTAATTAGAAGTTTCTTATGAGGCAAGAAGACATGATGTTTTTGACCCATTCCTCCGAGTCCTGTGAATGCGTGGAGCTGCACGCCCGGGTGGTCGTGCCCCGGGCCATGCGTCGGGCGATCTCACCGACGCTGATACCATGGAGGCATCTCCTGATGGGTGGCAGAGTTAAACTAGGACTGTTTTGGCGGGATGGCAGCGATCAGGACAGAAGGGAACCCAGAGCGAGAATTTGACGACCAAGAGTTTGCGGATTTCTGCACCATCCAGATGTAAGGAGGTTCCGAGGCAGAAAGTTGCAGACGATAGAGGTCTGAATATTAATACTCCCATATCTGAGTTCTAAGACTTCTTGGGATCTCGGGTTGCGTATTACGACCTTTGTCGGGGTTACCTTTTCCAGGGCCTTGCAATGAGGGTTGTCTTGTTCGAATCCTTGAAGGCTTCTCCGGGGCTTAAAATCGCAACCCAGTACAGGGAACGAGGATTTTGGGGCTTAAGTTTTGGGAGAAAGCTCCACCAAACCAGGGCCTGGCTTTCATAGAGAAGAATCGCGTTACAGTGCTGGAGCCATAGATCTGCACTTGGCCTGTGGGTTTGTCCGCGCAGGCGATCCATTGTGTAGGGGTGAGTTTGGGTGCAACTTCATGCCAATCGAGCCTTGCCTCGAGCGGATTGGCTGGCAAGACAGCCGAGGGCTTGCTTTTCGGATTCGCACTCAGCAAGCAACTTCGCTTCGACTCAACTTGTACAGTATTCAAGGCACGTGCAATGAGTCTAGCTTGACACTGGCCAGAGAGGACTGCTCTGGTTTCATGCAACCTAGTTGTCAGTCGACTTTCTGGCTTCTGGGCTTTCTGAAACAGGTACGCGCTCATTCTCTACCTCGTTGCCTTTTCCAGGATTCTGGATAGTCTTTGCTCTGCCATGCCGACTTTGCAGGCGAGCTGGGAGCGCATTGAACATGAAACAGAATCGGTAAAAACCTAAAGCACAAACGCCAGAGCTCTTGAACCTTAGAGCCCAAGCCCCTAAACCCTAAGCGAGCCCTAAGTACACCTCGGGCCAATGGTTTCGGTGTTGTTTAAAACAGTTGTGGGCTTGTCTGAAGCGCTGCGCATTCATGCTGCTTAGCTTGATGCGCGATGTCTTCTAAGCCTTTCGTAGCGTGTAGTGCGGAGCGACGACAAAAGCTATCATCGCAACGGTTTGAGTATGTACATTATTTGGAAGCCGGAAGTCCGGAGCCTGAGCACAAAAACAAATTTGCTGCCTCGTTCTGGAATGCCCTGGTGCCAAAGGAAGCCGAAATCATGCTCGCCCTGGAGACTGCCCTGGAGGCGCATGCAAGCGAACATAAGCGAACCATATCTAAAGCTGATCAACTTGCGGAAGGAGTTCGATAGTCTTCATACAGGGACCGCATCGCAAGCCTGTCCCCACCCATATGCTCCATCGACTGGAATTTCACTGGCTAGCTAACCCTGCACCTCAGGTCGATCCTTTTCAACCTCCACCCCACGCGGCCCTACCCGGCCCCACCCGGCTGACCGACTCAGGTGGTTGTCGAAAGCCTGGCCTCGCTGGTGAGCCTGGCCATCGATGCTCAGCAGAAGCTGACAAACGCCAAGGGTGGGTTTAGAGTGTGAGAGGAGTGACTTGGATCCTTAGAATCTTAGTGAAAAATTGAAGGAGTGAAGCCTCTGTCGCCGAAGACCGTACTGTAACACAGAATTTTGAAAGGTTCGTGCAATTATCCCGAAGGTTGACAAATGCATTTGTCGTATGTCTATGTGCGCTACGCCTTTCCTACACGACCTGCTGTTCAGATTCGCCCCCAACATGATCTCCAGCGCGAGCTGCCACACGACATGTAGTGCTGCGACGACGACATGAGGCATTCTTGCTGATAGGACTACAGGGATCTGCATTCGCTACCACGTTTTGACGGAGGGATTTTAAGGCTCGCACACACCTTCGAGACTTGCTGTTCAATTCTCGTACTTGTAGTGCGAATGTACCAAAGCGCCCCAACGTTTAGCTGGAGCATGCTGGAGCATCCGTGAAGTGCAAGACTTAGGTTGGCTACTTCATCTGCTACACCCCGACATCTCCGCTGCGGGAGTTGGTTCGCCTTGTGGTATTGACCGCAGTGTCATTGCCCCTCGGCATCGAGAGTCGGCTTGGTGAATCGCGTGTCGAAGTACGAAAGGTCTGTTTGAAGCGGCTGTCCTGCCAGGTCGATCCTGATGATGGCAGGAGCTCATACGCCAGGGTTCGCTGCAGACCTCGCGTTCTTCAGTTTTAAGCGTCAGGCCGTCTAGGCTTCTGGCTACCTTCCAGTTGTGCAAGATAAGATATCCAAAGACAGATCTGCAACCCCCCCCCTCGCCCCCATGAGCTCAGACGAGCACTACGCTGCGACAGCAGAGGCAAACAGGAAAGCTCCAAGTCCAAAATGAAAAGCAAATTGCAAAGCAGCCCAGCCCATGAGTGCAGATTCCACGTCCAGGAGGTTTGATGGACCAGGTGATTCATCCAAGTGCCGACGGTCCGGCAGAATCTTGCCTTTTTCAAGTGCGACGTCTCAAGAAAGTGCGCAGGCGGCGGAAGGCCCAGGGCGTTGCCACATAGAAGATGGAGTCTTGAGCCCCTTGTAGTTTAGGATTAGAGTTGATGCATAGGAAAAGGGCACCGGTAGCTTAGGGGATCTGAGAGGTTTCAACATGGGTTCAGAGTCCAACTTAGTAGCTCAGGGGTCAACGAGGCGACAAGGCAAGAAGGTCGGCAAGACAAAAAACTGAAAAAACGCCGCTGTTTGCCGAAGCCCAGGCTCGGGCGACAATGTTGCTGCTCTTGCTGATCCTGGAAGTTTCGACGGTTGCGCATTTCTACATATGCCCCTGCTGTCGTTGATGTCTCACCCTGGAGGTTCAGGGAGCCCAGACTTCGAGCCCAGGCGTTCGCTTCAAAGGGTTCCGGAGATCCTGAATCCAGCCTGAAGCCTAGGCCCTAGCGCTGCAAAACAAACATTAGGCAAAATTAAACCATATTACTTAACGCATCTTAAAACCCTGGTTCCTCAAGCTGGGCTTTGGAGCCCGAGACTCAATCTCTCACAGCCAGTACGACACCGACGTCGAAAAACGTCTCTCGGGAGCACCTCTTGACATGGGGACAGATGGACTCGTAGTGCAGGGACCTGAATCACTACTGGTCGTAACGTTGTACGTGGCTCCTCAGGGCTCGCCAACATGTTTATTCATATAGGAGCCCTGAAAACCCAAGTCTGGGTATTCAGGCTTTATTGTTGGCTAATGTTGACTATGCTCCCAAGCAGATCGGAGCATCGAATCCTTCCGTCCGTCCACTCCCCGGACCACGAGATCGACCACCGCACATCGCAAGTTCCGTGTAGGGTCATAGGATGTCATGGTTGTCATCCTCGTGATATCACCCCTCCGAAAGAATGCCTTGCAAGGCAGTATAATGCCTTGCAGACCACCCCAATGCCCTGCAGAGGGGGGCCAGGTTTTCAGACATGTGAATGCGCCTTGCGTGGCTCAGGCATTTTGGCTTCAAACTGCGGTCGTCAGAAGAAGCAGCAGAGTAGCGGCAGCAGAGACAAAGACACACCCACAATCACTCACACGTAAACCCCGAACCCAGAAACCCCAAACCGCCCTGAAACCAGAAACTCTAACTATTGCCCCTGAACCCAGGAACCCTGAACCCAGAAACCCTGCGTGCACTAGTGTGAGAGTCGAAACCCCCAAACCCAGAAACCCTAAACTCCCAAGCGCAGAAACCCTAAACCCCCAACACCCAGAAAACCTAAAATCTGCAAGCCTAGAAACTCTGAAACCAGTAACCCATCTAAATTGTCGATCGGCCATGGCCAGCGGCTTTGGCTCCCTTTATTTCGACGCGGTTTATTGGCCAGCTCTCTGCCCAACCGTGGGTTCCCCCTTGTGTGTACCACCACAGCGCTTTGAACAACTGTAACGGCTACTGTTACTATAGGTGTTCTATAATGTTCGTGGCGTTTTCGTGAATGTAGATTCTTCTTAGATTTAGAGTTTAAGGTATGATGACGTCGATGATGATGATGATGATGATGATGATGGACATCATGGCGATACCGGTAGACAGAGTGGCTAGTGTGGATGTGGGCGGCGGCGGCAGTGGCAGGGCTACTGCTACTGCGGCGGCGGCGGCAGCGGGTGCGGCTGGTACTGGTAGTACTGGTGGTGCCGGTGCCGGTGCCGGTGGTGGAAATGTGATCGGCAGAGATAGCAATGGTGATGATGGCAGGGGCAGTGCTACGACTCATGCAACTGTTGCCCGAACTCTTACTTCCCGGTAGTCAGTAGTCACTAGTCAATGCGAAGCCTAGGGGTTTGGGATATTGGGTCTTGCTCACTGGATCTGGAATGTCGCAATGGGACCAATGTCTCAGATGCAAACAGGCCGAGTCGAAGCGCATTGGCAAGGTTTTGGCAGGTAGTTGCTTCGGCTTTTGTCTTCGCATACACACTCGTCCTGAATATGTCCAGAAAAGCGTGGGGTTTGCAAAAAAAGAGATGCCAGCCAAGCCCAGCAAGGCATCCAAGTGTGAACGGTGCATCCTTTGACAAGGGGATCGCCATTCTGGATGCACTCCCAAATTCCTAACTGAACCGAATGCTCCAGCACTCTGCAGGCCGTCACCCAGATGGATAGAAAAAGTGATTCTCAAAGCCCTGACTATTCAGATCTTCGTGCCCACTTGCTACTGGGTGCCGCTGCCAAGGGTTTAGGCTGGTAGCACGTAGTAGTTCCTATTCGAGCACAAGTTTCTTGGCCTTTTGTCGTGCTACGTCCTTGCCGCAGTTTGCCTTCGCCAGCTGACAACCGCCCTGGTGGTAAGCCTGAAGGCAGTATCCAAGATCGTTCTTATCTGTGCGGGCGGTGCCTACTTAGAGAAGGCTGGCGTCTTCCACAAGGAGATGCGAAAGGGTGTGTCAGAAGCCTTTGTCAAGCTCCTTTTGCCATGTTTGCTTTTCACTCGCATTTTGCCGACGATGTCCATAGCGGCTAGCGGCCCTTCCCAAGCTGGCATGGCTTGCTGCGGCAAACCTTTTGTATGTGTCACTTGGGTTGTGCATTGGTTATCTAGCTGTTCTGCTGACAAGGCCACCACGAAGCATGCGCAGAGTCTT